TGTTGCTGCTGTTATTGCTGTTGCTGCTGTTATTGCTGTTGCTGTTGCTGTTGTTGCTGTTGTTGTTGTTGTTGTTGTTGTTGTTGTTGTTGTTGTTGTTGGTGGTGGTGGTGGTGGTGGTGTTGTTGCTGCTGCTGCTGCTGCTGCTGTTGGTGTTGTTGGTGTTGGTGGTGTTGGTGGTGGTGTTGTTGTTGTTGGTTGTTATGGTTGTTGTGGATGAGGAAGAGGAAGAGGGGGGTTCGAGTTTATAGGGGCTGTCATTTGTGAGAGTGTCGTTTTGCTTTATAAGTGGTTTAATCATTTTGTTCGGTCGGGGTAAGTTGTTAAAAAGAGGAATTTACAGGGTTGTAGAACGGTTCGGCTAAACTGTGTGTGTGTGTGTGTCTGTGATTTCGTTCCTTCCTTAACGTTGCTGAAGATGTGTAGGGATTCAACTTCTGATTGAAATCCCTATAGCCTCCGTTGTAAGACGTATGCCAAGACCCTACGTACAAAGCAGTTCCTACAGTTATACCCGTAAAATATGCCCCCAAAGACCGTCTTCAAGCTCTCAAGGCCACTATAGCAATATCCGGCAAGATGTGGCAAAGCCTTACAGAGCAAATCATAAATCCTATCCGGAAGTCTGCCACATCTTCAGGCTTCCATATCTAAACCCTGTGAACTCGAAAATAACCGCTTGTCAAATCCTACGAATTTCTGATGAACCCCGCAAAACCGTAAACCCCTTGTAAGCAAGGCTCCTCCGATGGAGAGTCGACTCCGCCGGATGTTTCCTCGCCAAAGAGCGGCGCCGGAGTAGGACGACTTGTCACTTCAGCACGCACCTTGTGACTCGTATAGGGTACTAGGGTTTAGGGTTTGGGTTAGTGTTTTGGTAGGGTTTGGGGTTCAGGGTGCAGGATGGTTTAGGGATATGGTTTTCAGGTTCAGGTTCTAGCTTGTTGGTTTTGGCTTCAGGGTTCAAGGTTTAGGGTTTGGATTCGTTTTATGTAGTTAGACCTGGTTAGTTCCCACCCCCCTGTTCTCTCAATCACGGTGACAGTAGGATGTTAATGTTAACGCCCTTCAGGGTCTAGGCTGTGGAGTTGATGGTGTATCCACCAGAGACTCCAACGCTCCGTTACTCAGGAACTCTTACTGGCAGTTCCGGCTGTAGGGCGCGATTGGCATTTCTGAAGCACGGGGGTAAACTCTTCCTACGGCAAACACAAGCCGTGTCGCACAGTAGGGAGCACTGAGCTTCGGGTTGAGGGTGTAGGGTGTAGGGTTTGGGGACTACATGCCGGTACTGACCTTGTAGATGCTCCCGGCGAGCAGCCATCCCGTGTTAGGCTCACATCTTACCGAGTACGCGAATGGCAGAAATGCACGCAGGTTTGGGGCTGCACAGTTTGGAATCGACTGGGTATCTCGAGATCAAGTTGGCGGATGCGAGTGGTAGATCGTAGATTGTCCGAGGGTAGACCGGAACGTCTTTCACCTTCAGTTTTTGATTGGATTTGCCTCCTGGCTTGTGGAAGGTTTACAGAGCGAGTGTTCGGACTTATGTCAAGATGGAAGCCGCGTAGTAGAGTTTGTCATCACAAGGAAGTCCAGAGTAGCACCTTCTTATGGTTTAGGAAGTTCAGGATATGAGCAGCATCAGAGGAACGCTTTGCGAGCCACACTGTGGAGTGAAGTGACACGTTTTTGTTGCAGATGCACTGATTCCGACTAGCCTTGATAAATATTTTGGCATGCTGCACTACCCATACCCAAAACCCAAGCCATGCCAATACGAAGACATCAATTCTGGTCGAAGTCGAGGTGCTGACAGATCTTTGGGCACGCCCACTTGAAGTGTATGGTATCGTGATCGTCAACTCAGGGTTTGTTACATAGAACCGCGTGGCTGTCGAAAGCACAGACAGGCATTTCGGGTCGTGACTTGACTTCGCCACAGATGCCTCTGAACAAATCAATAGAAGACTATATATATATATATATGTATGTATGTATGTATGTATGTATGTATGTATGTATGTATGCATGCGTATAAACTCTCTCTCTCTCGATATATCGATACATATATATATATATATATTGGTATGTCACAACCGCCAGCAGCTGCAGCAGAAGTAACAGAACGGCCGCCGTCGCCGCCACCAACAGGGCTGAAAGGAAGCACCATAAACCAACACGGCAGCAGTAAAAGCAGCAGCACCACCATCATCAATGACACCGCAAAGATTGAATAGACTGATGGGGAATAAGATTTATGTATTGGGTGGTGGTGGTGGTGGTGGTGGTGGTGGTGGTGGTGGTGGTGGTCATGTTCGTGATTCGTGATCGTGTTAGTGATTGCAGGTGGCTGTGAGCAGGATAAGAGCAGGCGATGCAGGGGAAGAAAAATCATTCGACGACACGCGCGGTCATGTGATGGCAATAGCAATTGCAATGGCGACGGCTATGCGGTGATGATGAAGATGAAGATGAACCACAGGAAGACTTTATGATGATTATGATGGTGATGGTGATGGTGATGGTGATGGTGATGGTGATGGTGATGGTGATGAAGATGAGGATGATGAAGATGATGAAGATGATGAAGAAGAAGATGATGATGATGATCACGATGATGGCGCCTGTGACTGTGACGGTCGATTAAGCTGGTGATGGTGGTCATGCTGATAATGAAGCAGAAGATGTTTCTTTGATGGCAAAGTACGGTGTCAACGGCGGCGGAGGCACCAGCAAACAACGACGACGACGACGACGAAGACGACGACGACGACGACGACGAAGACGACGACGACGACGGCAACCTGAAGAACAACGACCACCAACAACAGTAACATCAAGCATGCCATATAGACTGAGCGTATGTTTTTGCATTCGCCGCCCCAGCGGTCGTCACTAGTGCGTACTGAGCGAAGCAGTCGTCGCTGGTGTTGTTGTAGCAGACATGACTGACCGTCATCTATTGAACTGACGAGGGAACGGGCCGGAGCCGAAACGTACAATTAGGCCAACCCGCCACTGGCCCCCACCCTGCCCCAACCCCAAATCCTGAACCCGGAACCCTAAACTTACCCTAAACCCCAAACCCTAAACCCGGAACCCTGAACTTACCCTAAACCCCAAACCCTAAACCCGGAACCCTGAACTTACCCTAACCCTAAACCCTGAACCTACTCTAAATCCCAAACCCTGAACCCTAAATCCGGAACCCTGAACCTACCCTAACCCTAAACCCTCAACCGACTCTAAATCCCAAACCCTAAACCCTTGACCCGGAACCCTGAACTTACCCTAAACCCCAAACCCGGAACCCTGAACCTACCCTAAATCCCAAACCCTAAACCCTAAATCCCACACCCGTCGGAACCTCAGCCCCAAGAGCCGACAGGGCCGGCAGCACTGGATCCTCTCCGACGGCCGGCTGCAGCTGCAAGGCAGGAGAAGCTAGGGGCCTTAATTTCTTAGGATAGGGTTCTTTTAAAAGGTGCCTTAAAGAAGACTTTAGGGATAAAGATACGGGCCTTAGTTTCTTAGGGTTTAGGGTTTAGGGTGTAGGGTTTAGGGATAAGCTATGGGCCTTAGTTTCTTAGGGTTTAGGGTTTAGGGGTTAGGGTTTAGGGATAAGCTAGGGGCCTTAGTTTCTTAGGGTTTAGGGTTTAGGGTTTAGGGATAAAGATAGGGGCTTTAACTTCTTGGGGTTTAGGGTTTAGGGTTTAGGGTGTAGGGCTTGGGATAAAGATAGGGGCCTTAGATTCTTAGGGTTTAGGGTTTAGGGGTTCGGGTTTAGGGATAAAGATAGGGGCCTTAGTTTCTTAGGGTTTAGGGTTTAGGGGCTAGGGTTTAGGGGTTGGGGTTTAGGGATAAAGATAGGGGCCTTAATTTCTTAGGGTTTGGGGTTTAGGGTTTGGGGCCCTAATTTCTTAGAGTAGGGTTCCTTTAAAGGGTTCCTTTAAAGGGACACCCCACCCTAAGGGCTATAAGAGTTCTATAGTATAGGGGCCTTAATTTCTTAGAATAGGGTTCTTTTAAAAGGTGCCTTAAAAGGGACACCCTAAGGGCTAAAACGGTTCTATAGTATAGGGGCCTTAATTTCTGAGGATAGGGTCCTTTAAAGGGTTCCCTAAACGGGACACCCTAAGGGCTATAATGGTTCTATAGTACGGGGCCTTAATTTCTTAGGATAGGGGTTCCTTTAAAGTGTGCCTTAAAAGGGACACCCCACCCTAAGGGCTATAAGGGTTCTATAGTATAGGAGCTTTAATTTCTTAGGATAGGGTTCCTTTAAAAAGGTGCCTGAAAAGGGACACCCTAAGGGCTATAACGGTTCTATAGTATAGGGGCCTTAATAATTAGAATAGGATTGTTAAAATTTTGCGCTTCTTGGTAGTATAATGACAAGTAGGCAAATGCTACCACGCATGAGGGAACACTGTTGTTAGTTTTTTTCAGATTCGGGCAATACATCAAAACCCTAAATTGGCCCTCCGCAAGGATCGGACGAGTGTCTGCGTGCCGCCAGCAAGATGGGTGACAGGCCAGTGCCCAGGAAAGACCATTCTTGATGGGTGAGGTTTTAGGGCCTGTTCGGTTTTGGAGTTTAGGAGTTTTCATTGTCCAAGTAATATTGTCCAGGAGTCAGATATTGATGTTTAGTGTTGTTTGCACGTTGCAGGCTTCCAGGTAGAGAAATCAACGGTTTGTCAGCTGTTTTATGATGTCAGTGTACGTCACATGGTCTGGGTTTTGGTATGTGGGCCTGTGTTCCCTAAAGCCCCGAACCCCTGCGCCCTAAGGCCATGCTTGTTGTCGGTGCTATATGGGTGGTTCTCTAGATTAGGGTCTCTTTTCGGGTCCCTTTAATAAGAGTGCCTACCCACATTGACAGGCCACAAATCCCGTTTCTGGTTGCAGGGGGGCATCATTCCGACGGTTTAGGCAGTGGCCGTGGCAGACAGTAAGCACTTCAGTTCTACAAAGCTTTGAAGCCCCCGAAACCCTAAACCCTAAACCCTAAACCCTAAACCCTAAACCCTAAACCCTAAACCCTAAGCCCTAAACCTAAACCCCTAAGCCTTGAACCCCTAAACCCCGATGTTGGGGCATGATGGGGCTTCAAGAATTCGTTTGGAACCTCGTCCTTCATAGCTCCTGTGTAAGTGTATCTAGACTCGTACATCTTGTACTTAGGCGCCTACAACCATCACCACAGTCGAGACTTGAAGCCCTGCATCCCTAAATTTGGCAGCCGCATAACTCGAAGACTCTTCAGGCTGCAAGTTATCCAAGCCTTCGCTGAGCATTTCCCACGCCCCCTTGTGAACTGACCTGTCTTCCTTACTTGTCTTTCGTGTCATCAGCTAGGCCAAGTCACGGCCCTCACGAAAAGCTCAAATCCCCGACCACCTCAGTAGGTGGAACCTCCATGCGCACCGGAGTCCGCCTATACACTGAAATCACAGTTCATGTTGCTGAGTTGTGACTAGTTCTGAGTGCAGCCCCTCGCCATAAATATGTCTAGCACCCCAGGAAAGCCTACCAACGACACTTCAGGGTCTCCGTAGACCCTAAAAACCCGTAGACCCTAAACCCTAAACCCTAAACCCTAAACCCTAAACCCTGAACCCGAAACACAGAGCTTGGAGTCTCCAAGCCCGAAGCCTAAACCCTAAACGTAAGCCGTAATTGAATCCTGAGCCCGAGACCTAAAGCTAAACCCTAGGCCCCTAAGCCCTAAACCTAAACCCTAAACCACGAAAACCCTAAACCCTAAACCACTAAAACCCTAACCCTAAACCCTAAACCATTAAAGCCCTAAACCTAAACCCTAAACC